GTATAGTATCACTCATCAAATAATATTATTTGAGCAAAAAGTCTGTTGTAGCATTTATATAATTTGCTCCGTAGTGCAAAAAAATAGTATTTTCCTATATAATCCTGTAGTAAATGTATCTGTATTTTGAGATGGTCCCTAAAAATTAACCAGACGGTAGATTTTCACTAAACTTGGCATGTATACTGAAGTCAATACATATGGTATAAAATTAAAGAATTTCTCCATAGTAGTTTTCACACAATAAAACCCCAGTCGGCTCCCTTAAAGAAATATTCCCCTAGAACATTAAGCCCTCGGGGATAGTGTAGTTCCTGCCATGGGTTTGATAAAAAAGCTATCCCACTCAAAGACAGCGGATAAGTGTGTAATAGTATAGTAAAATATATAGAGTAGAGTAGAGTTGATATGGTATGGAATGGTATGGTACCGGTATGTTATAGTATAGCATTAAACTCTGAAGTTGATATAAAGATGCTGGTTAGTAGAGTTCCTGAATGACAATATCTATGTAGTCTTTGGAGAGCATACCTGCCAACAATCTCTTGGAAATCCCTTTCGTACTAATCGTGCCCCTCTTTGCTGACATATATTGGAATTCTTATAAAACTTTTTTAAAAAAAATTCTAGGTAAAGCCTCTTTCTGCATTCTTATTTTTTCACATTCTTGGGGCATTACAGGGGTAAATCAAGATATTGTCTTTTATTAATTTTCAATCTAAAGTTGAAAATGATTACATGATGACAAATTTGTCATGTAATCATTTTCAACTTTAGATTGAAAATTAATAAAAGACATTATGTGTTTCTAAATATAGAGATTTGGGGCAAAAATGTGTATACCAAGGCGAACAGTCTAGCACCCAAGAAGTCAACAATCAAAACTCCTGTGAAAAAACAAACATGTTTATTATTCTTTATTCAGGTCTGTATTGAAGAAATATGTTTACTACCCTGGGTTTGAACTGGAAGAAATTTGTTTAACAATTAGTTATCGTTTTTAATAGATCCCAATTTGATAGACTAGACAATAAAGTACATTGACTAGACATTAAAGTACATCGACCACATTTATAAGTACATTGACCACGTATAAAGATGCATGGTCTAGGCCTATTGGTAATATTATAAATAAAATCACATCAGTTAGCCTTTTTGGAATATCGTAAAACACCTGAAGTACCCCCGAATCCCCAGTTTATTTACACATTTTTCTGCTACCTAAGTTAATCTACAAGCGTTCGTATATATTAGCTTTGTGACCACTAAAATTGATAATCATACATGATGACAGCCGCCATCCCCCTTTTAGTCCCCTACCGGTGAAACCGGAGGGGACTATAGGTTTCCTCTGAGTCTGTCCGTCCGTCTGTCCCTTTGTCTGTCTGTCCCACTTGGTTTTCCGCACTTTTTTTCTAAACGCTTGCAGATATTGAGCTGATTTTTGGGTATGTGAGTGTATCTTGATGAGTTACAGGTCAAGTTTGCATTTTGTCCCACTTCAATGATTTTTGACGGATTTACGACCTTTTCAATTTTTCAGGGTTTTCCGCATTTTTTTTTTTCTAAACGCTCGCAGATATTGAGCTGATATTTGGTATGTGACTTTACCTTGATGAGTTATAGATCAAGTTTGCATTTTGGTCCGCTTAATTGATTTTTGACGGAATTATAGCATTTTCAATTTTTAACGGGAACCAGATTACACTTGCCGGTAGGGGACTAGTATTGCTAATGCAATACTCTCAGAATGCTTGTTTCTAGTTAAGTTGTTAAGAAAGAATATACCTCATTAGTGCTTCAAATTTGATTGTTACTTCAGTGAGAAATTGCCCTATACTAACGAAGTTGTCGGAGGGGGGGGGGGGGGGGAGGGACTTGGACTCGAGTTTGCATTTCGTTCAACTTCAATGATTTTTGACGGAATTACGGCCTTTTAAACTTATATTGGGAACCAAATTTCCCACTTAGTTTCTCGAACTCTTTCCCTAATCGCTTGCAGATATTGAATTGATTTACGGTATGTGAGTGTACCTTAATTGATTAGTTACACATATTGTTCCGCTTCAATTAATTTGGCTCCTATGGCATGTCAAACGTTGCAATATTCGATCTTTTGCATTTGCATTGTATAATTTTCCATTTGCATTGTATAATTGTTATTTGTATTGTATAATTTTTATTTGTATTCTATAATTTTCTATTTGTATTGTATAATTTTCATTTGTATTGTATAATTTTTATTTGTATTGTATAATTTTCCATTTGCATTGTATAATTTCTTATTTGTATTGTAAAATTTCTTATTTGTATGCGATAATTTTTCATTTGTATTGTATCCGCGGACTGTTTATTTGTTTCGTTACGAAGGATTTCATTGGTCAAGTTTCAGCCTGTATCGGGTTGAAGATGTTCCGGATGCTCAAAGCAAACTGGGCTCATATGTATTTGCTTGCTTGATTGATTGATTATTGTTTAACGCCGAGTCGGCAATATTTCAGCCATATTTCGGCGGCATATGTATTTGCGTGCATGTTAGACGGTCATTGGATTCTAAAAAGGGAGCGCTGGTAGATGGCAAATAAATAATCTGTCCTTAGGAATACTGACTGAGAAAATAAATAAATTGACCTTGAGTGGTGGTAACTACCCCCACCCCCAAAAAACTGAGTTTTCGGGTTTGGGCGGATTTTCTTCTTTTTGTTTTTCTCCTTGTCTCTGGTCATATTGGAAATAAATATTCTCTCCTGCGAGGGAATGAAAATAAATAATCGGATTCGACACCCCCCCCCCCCGAGAATCAAATGGTCGTCCCTTAGCATGCACCGCAAATAGAGGAGCCGAGTTTGTGTTTGTAGAGAGTCGCGATCGGAATTGTGGGAAGGATACCAGACTAAGTTTGTGATGGGCACCTGAGACCTTTATACAGACTAAATTTTATGACCAATGACATCCTTCGTAACGAAATAAATAAACAATCCTCGGATACAATACAAATGAAAAATTATCGCATACAAATAAGAAATTATACAATACAAATAAGAAATGATACAATGCAAATGGAAAATATAGAATACAAATGAAAAATTATACAATACAAATGATTTTTTTTACAACACAAATGGAAAATATAGAATACAAATAAACATTATACAATCCAAATGGAAAATTATAAAATCCAAATGGAAAATTATAGAATACAAATAAAAATTATACAATACAAATTGAAAATTATACAATGCAAATGAAAAATTATACAATACAAATGAAAAATTATACAATACAAATAAAAATTATATACAATGCAAATGGAAAGTTATACAATACAAATGGAAAAGATCGAATATTGCAACGTTTGACATGCCATAGGCTCCCACTTGTTTTTCTGCACTCTTGCAGATGTTGAGGTAATTTTTGATATGGTTGTCTTCCTTGATGAGTTATAGATCAAGTTTGTATATTTTTGACGGAATTGCGGCCTTTTTATTTGTAAAAGGATGCAGATTACACATTTTCCGGTGGGGAAGTACATGAAGTATTGCTTATGCAATACTCTCAGAATGCTTGTTTAATTCAAGCTAACATGATGTTTATTTTTACATGATTTGGTGTGAATATGAGTCCTCTTTCGGTGAAACCGGGGGGAGGGGGGTATAGGTTTCCTCCTCGTCTGTCTGTCCAATGGTCTGTCATTCTGTCCCTTGTGCACCTAGCTCCTCTGCTAATTAATAATACTGTGAAATCATTAATTTTCGTGATGGTTTATTTTCATTGCACATGTATTTGTGGTTGAAGAGAGCAATGAGTTCATATCCCCAGGATTTGTTTAAATGTCTTACAACTGTATAATGTGTCCCCTTGAACCACGAAATCAAATTGCCTCAAACCAGTAATTTTTCCTCAAACCATGAAAATTTGACCCCTCGAAAATACATGTATGTGATTTTACAGCACTCAAAAAAATAAAAGACTTTCAAAGAATTTATGCATTTTCTCTATATGATCATTATATCCTTACCTAACTCCTGAATTCCTGAACTAATGGCCATGAATTTCACAATTTTGAAAGAAGCTTTCTTGCTCATCATAGCCATGCACTTAGTTTGTATTCTAAATAGAGTAGAGAAGAATATTTTTAAAGAAATTATTCACATGATCAAGAGAGGCCCTCCCTAAAACCAGAACCCCTTACCCAGGGGCCATTAATTTCACAAAAAGCATGTTTGCTCATTCTAACCATTCACTTAGTTTCTCTGCTGATACGTGCTCAGAAGCAGAGAAAAACATTTTCAAAGAATTAATGCATTTCACATGATCAATAGAGCCCCAACCTAACATCATAATCCCTAACTTGAGGCTATGAATTTCACAATTTTGGAAGAGGAATCCTTGCTTGTCATAACCATGCACTTCGTTTGTCTACCTAATAATAGGAGTAGAGAAGATTTTCAAAGAATTCATGCATTTTTGCTATATGACCAATGGAGCCCCACCCTAACACAAAAACCCCTGACCCTGGGGCCAGAAATTCACAATTTTGGAAGAGGCACCTCTGCTCATCCACTATGCACTTCATTTGTCTACTGAATATACAGAGAGAGAGAGAGATTTGAAGAATATATTCATTTTACTATAAGATGTATAGAGCCCATCCTAACACCAGAACCCCAGCCCTAGATCAATGCTCATTACATCATGCAAACAGTTTCATTTCCAGATGTCCAGGAGTAAAGAAGATTTTTTTAAAGATTGCACTAATTTTCAAATTGATAGTTTTAGTCCTAACCCCTCAGGCCCCAGAGGGGGAAGTAGGCTGACAGGGACCATGAAATTCAAAATTTTTGTTCCCCTTCACCTATAGATGTTATGTGCTAAAATTGGTACAGTGGTTCCAGAGAAGAAGCTGAAAATAATCAAATGTTAACTCAAGATGCACAACGAAAACAGACAGCAATGGGTCATCTAAGTTACTCAAGTAACCCAAAAAATGTTATCATGAATTTTGTTGTAGCCATTCATTTTATTATCGATATCAATTGCATAAAAGCAAATTTGTACATTTGTACATCGATGACACTACACACTGATGTACTTGTTCAAAATAAATACTCAAGTTTTTATGCAAAGCAATAAAGGGGGGGGGGGGTTACATGTTAAGAAAGGATAAACCTTCCTTATAACATCATAACACATATACATTTTTATTACACAAGTTGAAGTTTATCAAAAATCTAGAAAAGATGTCAACTTTGCCTATTGTTTTAAATGTTATATATCTTGAGGCCAACATACTGTAAACCAACTATTATTCACGTCATCTTTTATTCACGATTCATCAGTTTGAAATCAATCTGCAACGATTAATTTTCATGACTGAGGAAACATTCTCTACAAATACAAAGCAAAATAAATGATTCGCGGCGATTAATATTCACGAGTAAATGAAAGACGCGAAACTTGCGAATATTTCTCGCACGCGAATAAAAGTTGGTTTACAGTAATACAAGTAGTTCAGATGTTTGATATTCCATCAAGAATCTAAAGTATAAATATTCAGTGTTTTCCTTCTAAATTTTCTAATTCACACTAAAAATGTACCCGGTATATGGATTTTTTTTTTTTTTTTTTTTTTGAAAGCAAGAGATTTTCCTGTATATATATATATATATATATATATATCTAATCCGTTCTATATTAATTTACATGTCATGTTCTTCCCTAACATGTGTATTTTCATTTAGATTCTCATGAAAAACATTCAGAATCAAATATAAAGTACATGTACAATTTGAATATGACCAATTTTAACAAATGATTACTTGGTCATTTATTCTCCATGGTATACATTAAAGAAAATAAACATTCATATTTCCTTTTAATTACTAAAAAAAGGCCCATTGATTAATGATTTTAGATGATTATGTGTATTATACATTAATTAACCAACCCTAATATTCTTGCATTATGTATTACAGATAATACATGTATATCTCTGTCAAATGAAATATACAAAGTATACAGTAAAACACACTTATAGCAAACACACATAATATACTGATGCTTACAGTGAAATGAATTCATTCCCATTGGCTTTAGAACATATTGTGAACTTGACAGATAAATAATGAAGCAAAATCTTCCAACCCTGGCACTTCATTATAAGCGTGTTTTACTGTATCTTGTGTACAGTACAACATGTCAAATCTAAATGCACCATAAATACTGTATTCTTATATCTATTTACATGATCAGAGAATACAAAATGTTGTTTAACTCGGGTGACCTGCTAATGAAGCCCAACAATAACATTCTTTCATACATAAGAACTCTCTCACTGAACACAACAGCATGCCATAGCAGTACCACTATTATTTACAAAATATGTACCGTAACTTATCACAGTTTTCAATGCAATTCTTCAAGTATTCTTACAATCTTTCATCAATATATGATTTTACTCTTGCACAAAATACAAATCTCAAATGGAAACAATGGAGACAAAACTTGTACATGCATTTAATGAATAAGACACATTTATTTTGATTTGTTTGATCAAACTCATTAAGAATCTTAACAGTTAAACTTTGTTTCCTGTTTTTAGAAGGGTATGGACAAATTGTGCTTCTATTTTAAAAGGAGGAGTCCAAAAGCAGATAAAATGGTTAAAATATAAACAATTCTGTTATATAAATTGCACCCACAAATCAATTTCTCATAGTGCTGCTCATTTTTACACGTAAAAGTATATTGCACAAAGAAATACATGTATATATGTTAAGATAATCCCCTTCATCCACAGGCAATACAAATTAATTGCTAATTATGCAAAAAATATGATTCACTGTTGCAAAATAAAACTTGACTGTAAATGTACATAAATTGAGTGTATTCAAAATTTAGCAAAATCTTCATACTCAACTGATAAGTGCAATTATAAATTAACACACTTGGGTCTTATAGACGATAGTAATGGTTTAAATCATGAATTAGTATGTACATGAATTAGCAGCAACATACGTAGCATATGGAGCAACACAAGGGGTGCTAAAATATAATCACCACTAAATTAAGTATGTTTACAGTATTATCATAATCTATACAGTTTGAATTAAAGTAAAGTGGAATATCATGTAATACACAAAATGTTATAAAATCATTAAAAATAAGACTGAAATATAGTGATTTCAGTCCTCCCTGAACAAACACTGACTTAGTCGTAACACAAGATGGAATGAAATAAACTCTGACGTAACTCAGTCAACAGTCACAAACTTTGTCCATGCATTCTATATTAAACACAAACTTAGCAGTCCTCAAACCTTCAGGGGACTCCAAATGGTACAACAAGGTCTTCTTTGTGATGTACTCGTACTTTACCTAAGGCCTGTGCTGCTTTCTCGGTTGCCTGTGTTATCTATGGAATAAAAAAAAATTAAATATCATTAAAGTTCTAATAAAAGTTATTGTAACTAAGTGGCTAATGATAATGTTTCCATACATAACTTCACACTTGGTCTCTATATAGCTTTACATTAATTTTAGTTACATGAGAAACAGCTTTCATCAATTACTTGTCAAACTGTTATATGTGGCTTATAGCATATAACTAATTCATCTTCCTGAATAATAGAATAAGACAATATATATATATATATATATTTTTTAATTTCCTTGAATTCATCTCCATCACTGAATCTCCTGTTTTGTGTTTAGAAAATAATAATAATCTTACCAGTTGAATGTCAGCTAATGACACAGGTGCAGAACTAAGTACATTATGTGGAGCGGTCATGCTGTTAGGTAGTGGAGGTCGACTTGCTCTAATTTTAGAGGAGCCACCTAAGACCATGTTTACTCTATTGCTGTGAAAAAAATGAACAAGGATTATCTTAAATGTATTTATAGTGCTTATCTAAACTGTGTACAGAATATTATCAAGGTCAAAGAACAGCACTGATCAATTTATATACTTTATTCACATATCCAAAAGGGAATACCTCGATTTTCTATTTTGCAAGTCGAAAAATTGAGTTATTCCCCTTTTTCACCCACATAAAAGGCCTGTAGTCTCTATTAGGTACAATATTTTTTCTTGTTATAACAATAAAATTTACAAGAAAGCATAATTAACATTATTCTTCTTTTTTTAAAGTTTCAAATAATATATGAGTACAAAGAATGAAGCAAGATTAGCACTGTTGACAGGAAAAAGAGAGAGAACTCTTGCTTATCAAAAACAAAAAAAAAAAACAAAAACAAGAAAAACCAACAACAAACATAATTAATCCTGCATGCCACATTTAATTCAGCTTCTTTTTTTTCCTCAGAAACTCAAGATTAATTTTTGTTTGCTTGGTTTGTTAGCTTTTTTTTTTTTGTTTTTCTTCTGTTTTGTTGTTGTTGTTGTTCAGCAGATTCACTGATATTAAACACACCTGTACTGAAATGCTCTATCATTGTATTCCTGTTGCTCTACAGTATCACCAGGAGAAACATCTATTATTTTCCTTAAGAAAAAAAAAGACTGTTATTAATTCTTTTCAATTTTTTATCTTTTGGTACAGAAATAAGGTATATACATGTATCATATTAATAAGCGCATAGCTCAGAATGTATTATCAAATCAATGAAGCTATTGTTGAATTTCAACACAAATTATTCAAAAATGTTCAGACTAAATGAGTTTGGATATGCTTTTTCTTAATAATTCATAAAATTGGCATTAATAAGAAATGTTTGAGAAAAATATATACCCTCATTGTGGCAAAACTAGAAAGGGATAGTGTAAACAGTTGGTTATCTACTAGTCGAAGGAGAACATAATACATGTACTAAGACTGATCATTATTCACTTCTTTGAGGGTACCAGTGCGCCAAAATTGATGTCTGTAAAGCAAATGGTTCTCAAGATACTGAGCTGACACTATCTTTCTATGTCTAGTGTCTAAAGTCTAAACCCTTGACCTTTAATCTTGTGACTCAATGATCATTAAGGGTTATTTACTCCTTAAGGCGAACCAGTGTGTACTACGTATGATGTCTGTCCAGCAAAGGATTCTCAAGATATTGAGTGGTCAATATCTACCTATGGCCAGTTTAAGCGATGACCATTCACCTTGTGACCTCATAAGCAATTTGAAAGAGGATTATCAACTTCTTAAGGGTAAACATATGAAACTTGGTAAACTGGTCCTTAAGGGGAACCAGTTTACAAGTTTACCAATTCTCATATGTGTCGAGCAAAGGGTTCTCAAGATATTGAGTGGTCAGTATCTTCCTATGTCCAGTTTGACCCTTGATCCTTTGTTCTTGTGACCTCATAATCCATTGTGGTCAACTACCCCTTGTAAGGAAACCTGTATACCAAGTCTCATATGTGTCAAGAAAGATCCTCAAGACAATGAGCAGTCAACATATTCCTTTGTCCAGTTTGACCCTTGACTTTTTGTCTTTTGACCAAAACATCTGCATTGGTCATCTACTCCTCAATAAGAACTAGTGTACCAAGATTAATGTCTGTCTAGCAAGTCTTCTAAAGATACTGAGAGGTCAATATCTTCCTATGTCCAGTTTGACCCTTGACCTTAGACTTTGTGATCTCAAAATCAAAGGGGTCATCTACTTTTAAAGGGGAACCAATGCACCATGTTTGATGTTTGTCAAGCAAATGGTTCTCAAGATATTGAACTGACAAGGTTTTCTATATTTAGAGTACTTTGACCTTGACCTTTGGATTTCAAAATCATTAGGGTCATCTTCTCAGGGAGTACAAGTACACCAAGTTTGATGTCTGTCAAGCAAAGTGTTCTCAAAATATTCAGCTCACAATAATTGGTCTACTGACTGACCAACCCACACACCGATGTAATGACTGACCAACACAAGCAAAGTAATATGCCCCTTTTTTAAGGAAAGGGGGAGGGGGCATAAAAATTCTACACAGCTTCAAGCTAGGTTTCCCATCTTACTTTAGAGGTAAAATAAGATGACAAAATTTTTAATGCAAGTTGTTGAAATTCATTTTTTTTTTTCAAATTCATGTACTTACCTAACTGTTCTGTGTAATATTTTCTCTAGGGCTGAAGGTTCATCCACTTTCTGCACATTTCTCTGAGATGGTGTATTATAGCTTTTAAAGGGAAGCAAATATGATTAACTACAATATATATAATATACATACAGTCAAACTTCCTTTAATATCTCAAACTTGACTGGACAAAAAAAAATTTCCAAAATATCAGAGGATTCAAGACAACAAGGTTTAAATTCAAAAAGAAAAGGTGGTTGGGACTTCCACCTCACTTTAACATACACATGGTATTCAAGATACCGAAATTCAACCATACTTTGATTTACTTCATAGACAGGGCTCTCCACAAGGGGACGAATTGCCATAAAGCATGACGATTGAGAATCATTCAGCTGATGCTCAATATGAGTAGATATTTTTAATTTCTTCATAAGAGTGAATTTTTTTCTGAGTACATGTTCATTATGTAAGATGTGATTTAAAATACTAAAAATATAAGTCTCAGTGGAGTTATGATGTCTTGTAATTGACAAGCATCCAACAAATTTCTTTGGCCAGAGAAAATTCAACAAAATTATACATTTATATATTATATAATATACATTTCATAAATGTTTTGTTATAACTTTTTTTTGACATACATGTATCTTATGCTTTCTTCCATGATGTAAATTCCCTTTACCCGGACTGCGGTTAAACTTGAAAAATTCAGACTTTCTCATGTATAGATTTATATAGGAACCAATTTTTAAAGGTATAACACTTTAAAATATTCTGACTTCTTTAACCATGAAATCAAATCCCCTTGAATCAATATTTTTCCTCAAACCTTGAAATTTTTACCCCTCAAAAATATGTGATTTAACAGTATTCATTTTTGTTTTTTTTTTTACTAATCTCTCTAAGAAATTATACATGAAAATGGATCACCAAGTCAATGTTTTTAAAGTTACCCCCAGTTTGTATGAAAAGTCACATGGCACTATTTTTAGCACTGGTGCAATATGTAGGGAAAACTGCGAAAAAAAGATGGTATGTTTGTATTGAAAAAAAGAGTGAAATATCACTTATACTAACTTTATTTCTCTGCTCTTTTTAAGTTGTGGTACACTCAGTTAGTTTTCAAAGATCATGCAGTAAAAAGCTTACGCAGTGTTAAATTGATGCTGTCCATCCTTTCTTCATTTGTGGGCCTTTTTTTTTAATGCTACTCCTTCAACAGTTTTGATCGAATTTCAATAAAACTTGACATACAAGAAGCAACATCAATTCTGTGTATATGTTTATGAATTAAATTTGATGAACATTTTTAGAGTATACTTAGATATATAATTCTATATCTTGCTTTTTTAAATTCAACTTCTGGTATTGCCATAGGAAATGAAAATATTTGTGAAATCAACCTTTAAGTGAAACTTAGGTCAATCATGCATTTGTGCTTTCAATGGCATTTAGCTTTTGCACAGCTTCCTCCATGGTTAAACTTTCAGATGTGGAGAACCCTGATTATTACAGACATTGTGTTCTCCTGTACATACATACCTTGGTCCTGATTGGCCACCACTGGTTGGTTCTGGAAGAAGTCGATCTCTTTCATTTGGTCCACCCTGAAATTTTAGAATACACTGTATTATAAGTTAAAAGATAAAAGAATATTAATGTTACTTAAAGTGTGTTTCTTCAATCTTACCTCATGAAAATATTTTTTATTTTTTATTATGTATGCATTAATAATTGGGCTTGTTATAATTTAACATATAACATTTTTGATTTTAATTCAAAATAAGTACACTGTACCTGGTATGAGAAGTGTTGAAACTGTTGTGTCTGCCATTTATTGTTTCTATCTAATTTTATCATCATACAATGTTTATGTGCCATAACTGTCATGTATAATGTGGAGCAATGATTCAATACAAAGACTCAAGCTTTCATTGTCCTGTACTGTATATGCCTCTTAACATATGTTTAAATCTACGTGTGATGTGTTGTGTCATATACAGTGTATGTTGTGTATGTTTGTGTATAATATTGTCAGCAAATTGATCTATAGACCTAATGTTTTTGTTATAAACTTGCCTTTAAATAAAGATTATCATATGTTCACATTTCAGTTATTTTTAGTGATTTATCACTGCTTCAATGGCATGTTATTGTCATTGAATTGTGGGTATTTAAAGCATAAATCTGGACACCATACCCAGAGTGTGATACAAGTATCCCTTCTAATATCACAAGACTTTAGACACATAGATTTAGACACCAAAGACTTGACAAAATAGTAAAAGTACATAAACCATCTTCCCGTGTTGGCCTTAATTACCATCAAAATATTTAGAAAAAAAATGAAGAGCTTTGATTGTTTGAAAATTGGGCATTCCAAGTAGTTTTGTTTTTTCCTTCTCTAACCACTAACCCAAAGAATCTTTAATCAAATAATTAGGGTAATAAGTAACATGTTTTTTTATATGTATATAGTATAATATGTCCAAACACGATACCACTGGTTCCATGAAAATTGGCCGATTTAGATAGAATTTCAAAGTACATATAGGAAAAATGCAGAAAAATATTCAAGATTTATTTCCCTTTGATTTATAAATTTACAAGTTAGTAAATATTATTAAATGATAAAATCATTTTTAGACCTTTCAAAATCTGCCAGTACCCTGAACTTTTACCTGGCTGAAATCATGATTTACCAGCTGTGATATTTGATGGAGAAAAATTTGACAACACATTTAATTAAAATCTCTTCCACAAGGTTACTGTGCCTCCTATTTTTGTAAAATTTCTGCCCGATTCTTATTTACATTTCTTAAAGAAGTGCACCTCATATTACAGACCTACTTGTTCATAGTATAGTTTTTATTTCTCAACTGTGTAATTAGAAAATTTAAAATTTACTGGACATGCTGCTGAAAAACATTAAAGATCAAAACAGAGACATTTAATTTTAAAAAAGATAGCGTTTTGTAACCAGCAAGCACTGACAATTATCTACATTGCTATACTAACCACCATTTATCTATAGGAATGTGAGAAGGACACATTCGAGACATTTTCAGGAATACCTTTCATACGCATTTTTTCCGGTGCAGAGAGAAAATTCGAACTAAGCTTACCAATTACACAGCTCCCGAGGAGGAGTCTCTATATTTTGACAACATATGAAAAATCTCCAATGTTACAAAAATATACTGTGCATAAATTACCGAATATGGATCATCTCCATCTTTATCGCTGCTGTCGCTGAAACAACAACCCATCGTCCACTTAGCGACCTTCACCTTGTATCACATGACATTAAAGATACGCAGTTAATGGGATGAGAAAACCACTATAAAGAAAAAAAATAGCAAATCTAATTAATTTTTTGGAATAAAGATCAAAATTTATTCAGGAATATAATTATCAATTTTTATTCAGTTGATTTTTCTCTCTTTTTTCTGTTTTATTTGCTGCGGCATGTAAATATGTCTGCGCCCTTGATGACAAACATGAAACTACTCTGTTCAAACTGTCAAAGGTTTTTGCATCGATTTAACACCAGGCGATTGTCAAATGGATGTACAAATAACAGTATTTTAAAGGTTTTTATGATACAGTTGCTGATTTTTCGGAGATATATGTTTAATATATTAATATGTTGACGGTGCGACCGTTGGGGCGAGCGCATTGTTCACTTCATTTTAAGATCCGCCTCTTCAAACCGCACGAGACATTTGGAACGTCTAGACTGTGACGTCACATGACGTATGTTAGCTGCATTTCCACAAACAAAGTTTAAAAAGTGCACATATTTTAACAAAGAACGTTTAATCTACTATCTGCATGCAATATCCATTAAATTAAGGTGAGTTTATTTTTTGTGAAATTTTAGTTGTTGTTACCGCGTGAATGAAGTTAGCAGCGAGAACAAGAAGCGATGCATTGTGGGTCAGAATTACTGCGGAAAAAAATTCTATTGAATGAATGTGCAGTAGTCCGAATTTTCTCTTCGCCCAGGCGTTGTCGTTAGAGCTCGCAGTGACGAGCGGCGCTTCGCGCCGCTCGCTGCGCTCGCTATTATTGTCATCTCTCTCACTAATGATCATTGAACATTGTCTACTGAGAGCTGAGCAAGATGAAGATAGCACTGAATATTATTTTCACTCGATATCCTCATATTTTTTTTAAAAAAAAGATATACGTTGAGTCATATGTAAGGGCTGTCAATTCAAATGACTGCATAAATGGCATAATATGGTTTTAAAATTGAATGAAATTAAAGCCACTTAAAATTTAAAATATTTCATTTTTACTGTAGGGTTGGGTTCGCCATATCAGAAAACAAAAGCATGTAACTTTCATTCATGTCAATGACGGAACCCAGTTATCCACAACACAGATTGTCACAGAACCTAGATTATGTCCAAGGTATGATCTTCAACTTATGAAAAATGAAAAATGAATTATTCCTCATTAAAAAAAGTATTTTTTAAGAAGCATTTTCAAGTTTGAATAAGATAAATATAATTATACAGCAATATACTAGTATTTTCCTGGATAAACATTGTAATAGCTGTTGTTATATAAAATGCAGATAGTGTAGTGATGTACTAGGTGAAATATTTACAGTGAATTGACTGAGGGCAGTTGTATAACTGCAACTGGAAGATTTCAAGAAAGTATTGCAAAGAAGCAGAATATTGAATTCCAGGCAGAAGATATCAAAGTTCATGGCTTCTGTAATCTACAGGTAATAAACAGTTTCATCAAAAAGTATAAAAATAATGGTAGATGTAGTTTCTTAGCTGTCCTTTGATGTACATTTTACAAGCTTATTACCTTATATTTATTACAGCAAATAAAATTACCTGGTACCATTTTGGTACTTTCAGTATATAATTATATGTACAAGAAATAAGCACCCTTCTTTATGGTCACGGATATACCTGGTCATAAAAGTTTAATTAAGTTATTTCTTAGTGTTTCTCAGTGTAACAGTTTTATTAGAAAAAGATGTTAATGGTAACCCAACAACAAAACTTTATGATAAACATGATGCCAGAATTCCACTTTTCTATCGTCAACTTCCCTTATTTATGTAGCTATATACTCTTATCACCTGCATGTGGAGTTTATGTCTCCCAGTTGATTAAATATGCAAGAACGTTAACATGCTATAGGTGCAAACAATTTCTAAAAGAGACAAGCTATTGACAAGCAAGTCGATGAAATAAGGATATCAACAGCCTTGTTTAAAGTCAACTGTTTGCAAGTTCTATGGTAGATACAATAACCTAGTTAGCAAATACAATCTATCATCAAGTCAAATGCTGACTGATGTTTTTCATACTACATGTATTTGTAAGGCCATTATTTACAAACTGAATTGTCTAAGGATTTTCTATTTGTCTGATCATGACAAGGAGCACACAATAGGTGTGACTCATATATGTGATAAGTCAAAGACCACAAAACTGTATAGGAGCCATAAAAAAACTGGAATTTGGGTGAAAAAACTGTCCACTGCCTATCAAAAAACGGTACCAAAAATGGTATAAAATATCGCTTAAATTCTTCTGATAAGGCACCTTATTTCTAAACCAACAAATATATATTGTTGCAAATGTCTTATTATGCCCCCGGATCGAAAGATCCCGGGGGTATATTGTTTTTGTCCTGTCTGTCTGTTTGTCTGTTTATCTGTTTGTCTGTTTACCTGTTTGTCTGTTTGTCTGTCTGTCTGTTGTCAACTTTAACCTTGCCCATAACTTTTGATTGGTTGGAGCTATGACTTTCATATTTCACATGTGTATTCCTTGCAGGGATGGGCACGATTACTGAAAAATTTAATCGATTAAGAGCCATTCTCTGTAATGACTTGAACTTTTATATAGGAGCTGTGGCACGCATAGTCTCAGAATTTCTCCAAACTCTCTATGATAAAAGTCTTTGATACCGTAAACTCAAATCAGGCAAAAATTGGTTGCTACGTGTCATGGTTACCATAGCAACATGTCCTAACGTTTGAAAAATGGCATTTTTCAACATGTTCAGAGTCCCCCAGTTAACGTTTGCAGCAAAGCAAACAAGTGGCAATGACTGTTACTGAAAGTTGAAGGCCTGATGTCTTAAATGCATGATAAACATGTTTGGTAAATCAACTATTACATACGTTACTATGGAAACAAAGTATTCAAAAGTAATAATTTTGTTCATTTAATTTTATAAAGTCATATACTTAAGAATAAAAACAATTATAGGTTGAAATGCAAGCAAATAATAGACAAGAGGTCCTTGTAACATATACCAAGGACGAAATATGATATTTCTTATAGGTTGGCAACGGTTGCTATGGTTTATTTACCTCGAAAGGATTTTAAATTTACTCTCTTAGTGTTTTAATCTTATCCTATCTTTTTAAAAAGCATATTTCTATATAACTGATGATCAATTTTTAAAGGCATTGGTGTTACCCTAATTTTCACATTTCAAAAAATTCAAACTCAATTCTTTAAATAGAGCGTTGCTATGTAAATTAGCCGGAAAAATATGCATAAAAATCTAAAAAATATTCTGTTTCCTTGGATACGCACCCTTGTAAGTAGATTCCCAAAACTTTTATGATTGATATATATGAACAACTAACCTGACTTTGAATTTTGACTACCACCCAATCTCTAACTGGATGCAAAAAGCTGGCACATAGGGTTTAATATTGATATAAAATTAACAAAATTGAACATTTTCCCTTCTTGGTAACCATAGCAACAGTGTTGTATTTTTCAACAAACTTTATCAATATATGATATTCAACTTTAGTTCTACCAGTTAAGTAGTATTCAAGGTGAATCAAATAATATGTTTCTTGATTAAAAGATAAGTAAATTCCTAAAGGAGCAAAAAATATCACTTTAAACGACTGATACGTTGTTTCCATGGTTACAATGCAAAGTAACATTTAATCCCAATTTTTCTTATGTTGTCGGTGTTGCAAGGTTCCAAGGATGCATATGTGTTAGTCGTGAATTTTATTGTTTTTCCTCAAGATAGTAGCATTAACCCAATCATTGCAACAGATTTTGCATGGTTACGCTGTGTTACCATGGCAACCATGAAAGTTATTTTTAGAATAATATTGCCAATACCTAATTACATAAGGTCAAATATTTTTTATTGTTTTTCTTAGGTTGTTGATTGAGTTTGATCATGTAACATCTATCACTGGTGAATATTGACCATTTTTCAGCATTTTTCAGCTTCTAAAATGTATTCCAAATGTACCCATGGTTACCATTTACTAAGAGATAAATTCTAAATAGTTTCTTTATAGCATAAGTGGCAACAAGGTGTCACGTTTTTGGGAGAATGGTTTGTTTGTTTTTCTTAGTCTTTATTAAAGACCCAATTTTTTTACCGTACGGTTACCTGAGGAGGGGGAGTGGTCTAGGAAGTACTGGTGTTATTTACCTGGAGAGCCCCAATACTCAAGATGTCAAAAATCCCTATACACGCTGCATTACACAGGAAGTCCGGCTTTTGGTAATCAGGGTCAACATTACAAGTTTTGTGCATAATTTTGAGTGAAAATATTTAAAATAAATTAGGTACTGAAATATAAAATTTGTAGACTTAGCGTTTTCGTCGTTATCTTTTAAATAAAAAAAAATTAAAAAGACATATCTTTTTTAAAAATCGTAAAATTAATCATAAAAAAAAACGGGTGAAAACTACGAAGCAATCATATCAATATTTTAATCGCCAATAAAAGAAATTATTATAAAATATTAAGTGTGAATATTAAAATAAAAAGATTCCACATTGTGTGAACATTACCACATCGGAATATTATTTACTTTTCTGGCGAACGATTGTGTCCAAATATTCGCCATTTCCGAGGGTCCGTGTTCTTATGCCCTATTTAAAGATTTGGACATAAAAAGAATCTTTCGTAATTCATGGCGTTAGATACAAGATACTTTATTTATATTAGTATAAATTACGGAAGCGTATTAGGGCCGCAGCAGTATCTTTTATTAATTTGTTTTAACAAATTACTAATTTGTTATAACAGATTACTAATTTGTTATAACAAATTACTAATTTGTTATAACAAATTACTAATTTGTTATAACAAATTATCAATTTGTTAAAACAAATTACTAATTTGTTAAAACAGATTACTAATTTGTTATAACAGATTACTAATTTGATATAACAAATTATCAATTTGATATAACAAATTAATAATTTGTTATAACAAATTGTTAATTTGTTATAACAAATTGGTAATTTGTTATAACAAATTAATAATTTTGATAAAGTGAAAGTGTATA